ACCGTGCTTCCTGCTGAGTCCAGAGCAGGTGGCATCTGTGTGCACCACTCCCTCCTTCTCCGGGGCCCTTATTCACCCCCCTGCTGACACCCTAGGGGCACCTCCTGGGGACGAAGCCCCTCTCCTTCCCCGCTTGTTCTGAGATTTCTGGAGCCAGACGGCTTCTGGAGATATATTTCATTTACCTGCACACATTTCTTGGACACCACCTTTGTGTCCAGCCAGGGGTGGGACAGGGGTTCAGTCCCAGACAGGAGAGTGGGGCAGGAAAGATCATTTCCGGCAAGGAGGCTTCCTGGAGGAGGAGGCTTTTGCCTGGGCCTTGTGTTTGTAACATATCAAGGTGTCTGGTCTTTCCCCTACACATGCCTGGAAGGCAGGGCACCCCGATCGTTAGCATCAGCATCGCTGTCACCACCATCAACCCCGTGTCCGTGAGGGCCTGCTCGCTTACACCCCATCCTCCTGTTTGGTCCTGGGTACCAGCTATGAGGCAGGTGTAGTCACTCCCCTATGATGAGGGCAGGGAGGTGAGGTCACCTGCCCAGGGCGCACCCTATAACTGCCGCACACACTGCAGCTTTGCAGATTTGTGTACCTGCAGGACCAGAGCGGCTGCAGAGACAGGAGGGCTGGAGGCGGCACCAGCCTCGAGGCTGCTATGGTGGCCCCGGCTCCAGGCTGGAGCAGGGGCAGTTGGACTCGGCCAGGACTGCAGGTGGCAGGCCTGGGAGAAGTGACAGGCCGGGGACGGGGCGTCCCTTCCCGAGACCTGTCCGCCCTCCTCCGGCAGAGCTCATTGGTCCGCCTGGTCCGCCTGGCCGAATTGACTCCGGTCCCCCAACCTGACCTCGGCCCCCGCCCGCAAGCACCCATCCCTCCCACTGTGCAGGCGGGAAACTGAGGCTGTCAGCGGAGGAGGAGCCTTGCGGGGGCACAGCCTGGCCACAGGCTGCCGTGCCCCTCCTCCTCCGGACTCCCCCGGAATTCCATCCTAGGCCGCCACGCGCGCGCCCCTCAGCCCCGGGCCGGGAGGGCGCCGGTCACTGGCTGCGCGGGAGGGCGGTCCCCGCGAGCTGCTCGCCCCTCTTTAACCCTCGGCCTCCCGGAGCCAGCGGCACAGGGCCGCCCGGAGGGGCAGCGGGCGGGGTCTGGAGCGCGGACGGCGCGGCCCCGGACCGCAGCCCCGCAGGGCGAGGGGCTCGCGGCGGGGCCCCAGGTGGCTGCGCGTCGCGGGGCGGGGGGGTCCTTATGCGTGAGAACAAGTGAGCCAGCTCGTGAGGCGTGTGCAGTGTGGGTTTGCAGACAGCGGGGGGCTAGGAGGTGTGCATATTACCGTGTACCTCCCTGCCCTCCCCCGTGACAGTCTTGACTCTAGTTGGGCCACTGTCCCCATTGCCACGGACAGACCTCATGCTTCTCCACACTCTGGGGCTTGTCCAAGCTCTCCAGGTGCCTGCAGCCCCCAAACTGCCTGCCTCTGCCTCACCCCTCCTCAGCCCTCCTGGCCTGGGGTGCTCCCCCTTCCACCCTCCTCCTACACAGTTCTCACTCTTCTTGGTCGTCCTTCCAGACACACATCACCCCTAGGTCTGGGCCCCAGGCTTGGCCCCCAGGAATGTCCTGACTCTGAGAGCCTCTTCCGTTCACCTCTGCCGGGCTAGACCCCAAGGACACACATGCCCCCAGGACAGCTGGCTGGGGCCTGCCCATGAGGTCCGACTGGGGCTGGGCGTGTAGTGGTTGATTCGAGGTGTGGGTGTCCCTGTGTGTCTGAGCCTTCGCTGTCCTGCCACGGGCCATCTGAAAAGCTACTGCACTTTGTGCAGAGAGAGCTGGAAGCCAAGCTGGACCCCATGTGGGCCATGGAAAGACGTGTGTGTGACGTGTATGGAATGTACGTGAGTGCGTGTGAGTGCGTGTGCCCCTCACATCGGGATCTGGCGTGGGAGAGAACTAGCTTGGGCTAGAGCAGACAAAAATATCTGCCAGCTCAGCTCACTGCTGACCCTCCCCTCAAAGCACAAGGCCAAGGATGGGCCCCCAGCCACCTGTCTGCCCGCTTCAGGAAGCTCATCTTTCACCGCCGCCCACCACGCCCAGCTCCAAACCCACCTGGGTCCCCGCTAGACAGGACTTTACACCAAGAGGCCTCGGTGGGAGCCGTCAGACTCCCATTCTCCTGTCGGTCTTCCCAGCCCCTCTCCTTGTCCCGGGGCTGCCGCCTGGGCTGGGTCTGAGAGCACTGGCCACGGGGTGGGCTTGTGGCTGTCATTCCCCCCCGGAAACAGGGGACACCTTTCAAAATGTCTCACGAACAGCCTTCACCCAATGCCAACAGCCCATCAGGCACTGCCCACCCGGGAGAAGGCGGGACGCAGCCACCAACCTCCGGTGGCCGCCGGGCTGACCCCTTGGTGTCCATCCCAGGGCTGGTGCCAAGCTGCCAGAGCTCGGCCCCGGGAAGGAGGGGGGTGCTGTCAGCGTGCGTGACGGCGGTGGGAGCTGTTGCACTTGGGGTGCTGCCTGCTGGGTGTTCCCCTTCCTGCCCTTCCAGAAAGCACGCCTGGATGGCTGACGAGGGTGGGGAGGGATAGAGGGGGAGCCCCCACCCACAGGAGGACAGAGCAGGAGCTGGAAGCAGAGGACAGCTGGGGGGGGGGGGGGGGGTCCGCAATCACCAGGGTGCCCGGGCCTGCCACACAGGACGGGGACTCTCAAAGCGGCCCGATGACCCTGGGACTCTGGGGCCTTGCGAGGGCTCCTCTGGCGGCGAGAGCGCTGCTCTGCCATCTCAGGCTCCTGCGTGGGGCCGTGCGATGTCCGGGGGGCTGCCAGCCTCGAGGGTGCCTACATTCTTCTCTTTCCTTGCCCGGCTTTCCCCCTGCAGCCCCGGCTCCCGGAACGCCCTCCCCTGGGCCCTGGGCGCCGCGGAGCTACCTGCAGCCGCTGGCCTGATCCTCAGAGGCCTCCCCTTCGTGGAGGGCTCTTCCCGTGATGCCCACCTCTGGTCACCCACCAGCAGAGCGGCAGGCCAGCGCAGGGCACTGCCTGGAGCCTCAGGAAACGCGAGCTCGGCGTGGAGGAGACGCTTTGGCAGCGTAACCCGCCCCAAACCCAATTCCAGGCCCGGCAGGAGCGGGGCGGGGACGGGGACGACGAGGGGAGGAGGGGCTGAGCCCGGATGAGGCTCTGGGAAGGAATGCCCCGCTCAGGAGCGCCCCCGGAGCCCCGCTGGGGACTCAGCTCTCCGCCTGATGGCGTCGTGTTGGCCCGAGCACTGCGACCCGAGTCCAGCTGTGAATCTGCAGCTCCGTGGGGGTGCCCACTGCCCGGGAGGGGGGAGTGTCAGGCTGTCCACTTGCCCGATGCTTTCCCTCGTCCCGCTCTGGGCACTTCGGGGCGCGGAGGCCTGGGAGGGGCGGGTCCCCACCTGGTGTTTTAATTGTCCCCAGGGGCTGTTATGGAGAAGCCTGGAGGCCGCAGGGTGAGGGCTCCAGTGAGGGGGTGGTGCAGGCGCTTTGGAGGGCAGAACGGGTGGCTGGACAGCAGTGCCAGCCAGGTGGTACCCCACGCCCCCTTCCACCCCGGAATCTGCCCAGGGTCCCTTGCGGGCTTCTGGAGCCAGGAATTCCCTTTTCTCCAGCCCTAATAGCAGTCAGATGGCGCTAGTGGAAAATCACAGCGCTCGCCCGGGGCCCGGGCCGAGCGGGGGAAATTGGCGGCCGTGGTGCTTGGTGTGTGCGCCGCGCGGGAGGATGAGTCAGCCTCCCCCAACCCCGGCGAGTCCCCACAGGGTCCTGGGGCACCGAGCCAAAGCCTGGGGGGCGGTGCAGGGGCCAGAGGGGTGGCCGTGAGGACGGGGTGGTGAGCAGTGGCTTCCCAGGAGCCACCAGGGAAAGCTCCCTGCCCTGGACCAACTTTCTCATGGCCCAGGGAGCCTGAGGGAATTCTGAGCAATGTTTTCCCTGTGGGAGCACATGATGCCCAGTTTGGGGTTGGGGGATGCCTCTGTGGGCATCTTAAAGAGAAGCCAGAAATAGAGCTTCCCCTGCACCTGCCCTGGAGCTGCAGCCCTCCTGTGCCGGGAGGAGCCCCATGTCCCTGTGGCCACATGCGAACCTCAGAAGGGGGTCAGATTGTTTCCTGCTGGGTCCAGCTGGCCTCCTGGGGCCTTTGTTTTTAGGGAGGGGTTGGGGGAGGGCTCGAGGATGCTGAAAGTCACGGCCACACCCGAGGCTGGGCTGGCAGCAGGCAGAGGTGGGGACCCTCCCCTCCTCTTCCAGGCCGGCCAGCTGGGGCCCAGCTGGGCTGCTTGTTTACGTGGGGAGGCCGGGGGAGGCCAGTCCAGGCAAGTTCCAAGTGTAATTGCATCTGGACTCTTAAAAGGAATTGTGTGAAGTGGGCAGCGGCTCTGAAGTCCGCCGCCTTATTTGGTATGGAAATCTGTTTCTTTCAAAACTAATGAGAGGTGCTTGTAAATGGGAAAGCCATTCTTTGCTTGGGTTTGCTGCGTCCCATTGCCACCCACTGTCCTCTGGCCTGGAGGCCAGGCTTCTGCAGGGACATGGCTCCCATGGCTGCCTCCGATCTCGGGTGACCCTGGGACTCGGTTCCTCATCTGTCAGTTGGGAAAAATAGTGACTCTCGGAGTAGCAGTGAGAAAGTAATCATGTCCCAGGTAAGAAAGCTCTTTGTGACCCCAGAAACACTGTGTCATTCATTCCCTCTCTCCCCTCACAAGGCTTAGGGTGACTTGGAGGGGGC